TTATCTTTAATTTCTATCTTTGTACACTCATTTGTAGAAGAAAATCTGATAGGGCAATGAATAAACCTCTCAAACATAATGCACTCATTAGGATACAATTTTTTGTGCAAAATAAGAATGGCAGGTTCCAGGGGGGTGGGGGGGTGGGGAGAGAACATTATAAAATTCCAACTGTTTAGAAGAGCTTGTTTTTGTATTCCTTTAGTGAAAGATGATGAGTGTCAAGTTGCTATAGATTGGGCTTCACTAAATGTGTTTAGAAGGATAATAAAATATTTAAACTTAAAATGACAATTTATATAATATAGCAAAAATTTTCTTTCAAATAATTATAATTTAAAAATCCAATATATAAAAATTTAAATGTGTTAGGGAATATGTCCTTTTTCCAAAATTATGAGTAGTACACAGACAAAAGATAGGCTACATTTAAAAAAAATAATAACCTGAGCAGTGATCCTGCTGTAGGAGCACACTGACAAAAGATAGGCTACATTTAAAAAAAAATAATAACCTGAGCAGTGATCCTGCTGTAGGAGCACACTGACTACCTGGGGGCAGCTCCTGCATTGGGTGTCTGACCCCTGGTGGTCAGTGTGCATCACAGTGACCAGTCAAATGGTTGTTCAGTCATTCGGTCACTTATGCTTTTAGATATATAGATATGTATAACCATGGACACACAATAGTGTGGTGAAGGCCAGGTGAGGGGTGGAGACGGTCAATGGGCGGGGGGCAGCAAAAATAAAGGGGACATTTGTAATACTTCAACAATAAGGATAAATTAAAAAGAAAGAAAGGAAGGAAGGAAGGGAGGGAGGGAGGGAGGGAGGGAGGGAGGGAGGGAGGGAGGGAGGGAGGAAAAGAAAGAAAGAAAGAATAAGAAAAGGAGGAGAGGAAGAGAGAGAGAGAAAAAGAGGGAGGGAGGGAGGGACGGAGGGAGGGAGGGAGAAAAAGCCTTTTAAACACTACATCACTGTATTTGCAAACCAAGCTCCTGGGGCAACTTTTGTGTAGATTTAAGCACGCATTTAACCAAATGAATTTTCCATTGTTCCCACCTGTTTCTCAAATAGCTTCAACTGTTCTGCCTTTGACCTGCTTTGGCTCAATCCTACATGGAATCTGCCCTCTTAGAATACCCCACTCCAGGCTCCTCCACCAGAGAGCTGGCCTTGGCAGCAGCTGGGAAAACCTCCAGGGAACAGCTGGTGCCTAAGGCCCCACATTTCTGCCATCTCTGAGGGTCAAGAGTAGTTTCCTACAATAATGGTATTTAGTGGAGAGATTCATTAAAATAACATCTTACATTGACAGATAACTCTCACATTATCTCATTTGGTCCCACTTGGTCTTCAGAATGAACCTGGCAGACGGTGAACATAATGAATCGGGAGTCAAAGCCCTGGGCCTGGGTTCTGACCCTTGCTCTGATGCTCATCTCATAGATGACAGTGGATGTGGGCAAAACCCACCTTAATGCTCATGACTCCATTTCCTTGTTCTGAAATGAGAAGGCTAGAGTAGATGATCTCCTTTTAAAATTGACATTTTTGGACAAAGGGCTCAAGCAACCTTTCCCCCAGTTAACTCCATCCACTGCTGACTGAAATTCAAACTGGTCCGGTGCCTTTATCACACCATTTATTGTTTACCCACTCAGAAATGACTAAAATAAACTCAAAGCACCTTGGGTTCTGTCATAGCAAATAAGCTACTTCATTTAATCCTCACAACAAATCCTAAATTTGGGTATTATTACCTCTAGTTTCCAAATGAGGTAACTGAAATGAGAATCAGTGATTCCTGGCAATCATACAGCAGGTAGCAAAGTTTTACCTTCTAATTCTGCAGAAACCAAACCACCTTGGAAATGAAAAACACTACCTTCATGGCATCCAGCTTCACAATGATGACAACTGTCAATTGTTGAGTTGAAAAGCGTATAATCAACTGGGACACAGAATACTAATCTGACCTCTGATCCATGCAAGTCATAGGGCCATGAGTGCCTTTATGTCAATGTTTTAAGCACACTTGCAACTTGCTAATTCCTTAAGGGTAGACGGAGATGGTGTCTAAATTAAAACCTTCACCTCCCAGGGCCTCTGCCCTGTGTGTGCCCTGTACTTCCATGTTGATTTGTTTCTCCTCTGTTGGGTGGGTCTCTCCTTGACAACTGGGGGCCACATTTAGCCAAGCAGCTGCCCACTGGTGGCTAAAGCCTGTGATATGTAGTTCTGGCAGCATCTCAAAGGATTTATTATTATCATCCCATGATTTCATTATTATTATTATCATCCTTGTGAAATTGGGTAGCTGAGCCCACTACAAAGCATTAAGCCCTAGTTTAACATGAAACAGTCTGTTTTCTGCATTCCCTCTACAGTTGAGGGATCTCCTCGCCCCCAGTTTCTGCTCACTGTTGGAGGGCTCTAAGAGGTGGCCTACAGCCATGGATAAGTCAGCTTGAGTGCCCCCCCACACACACACACATACACACTGTCCTATCCCAGTGTTTCTTTGAGGAGGAGCAGGCTCTCAAGGGGCTCTTTACCAAATTGAAGGTGATTACAATGTGATCCAAACAGCACCAAGCCAGGGGGCAGGAGATGTAGGTTCTGCAACCAAGGATAAGCCTCTTTGCTATCTTGGACCTTGGTTTTCTCATATAGTAAGTGAGGCAACCAAGAGAGATTATTTTGAAGATTAATCTCAAGATGATTTTGCTCAGACAAGCTCTAATGTACCCTTTTCCTGGCTTCTGGAGATTCCCACAGGGAAGAACACCTTGTAGGAAAGATCTCGGAGAAAAACCCTGACTCCTCACTTCCACTCTACTTCACCCAAAACCAACCTGGTTTACACAAGACTTTACAGAAAACAAATGCAGCTCTTTAGCAGGGAAATCAGAATTCCTTATCTAAAATGTGTGTGTGTGTGGGGGGGGGAAGGAATTGATTAGGAGTCCTAAAACTTAGATTTCATCCCAGCTTACTTATAACTAGCCATGTAGCCCTCAGCAAGTACCCCCTGTACACCTGATAGCTCATCTCCCTAAATTAAATATTGATACCTCTTTGACTTACCCTACCTCAAACAATCTTTGAGGATAATAAGAAAATGTGGCTTAAAAATGTCAGGTATAACTCTATATATGGTAAGTTATTAAATTAAGATCACTTCCTTCCTTTGAACCTAGATAAATCTCAGAAAAACTGCAAGTTTGATAAAACATTATAAAATGCTTATCTTCCTATCAGTAGGATAGCTGGTAGGTTTAAATTTTATAGTCGAGTTTTAAAATATGTAATTTTAGAGAGAGAGAAAGGAAGAGGGATAGAGAGATAGAAACGTTGGTAAGAAAGAAACACAACGATTGCTAGCTTCCTACAGCCTTCCTACTGGGCCTGGAGCCCAAAACCCAGCCATGTGCCCTGACCAGGAGTCAAACTGGTAACTTCTTGGTTCATGGGTTGATGCTTAATCCAAACTGGCTAGGCTTGTTGTCAAGTTTTAGCAAGTCTCCTTCTAGTTTGATTTAACAAACATCTATTAGGAGTGTGCCTTATATTGTTCTGGATACAAAAGATATTAAAAGGAATTATAAACTTGACCTCTAGGTGTTTACAGTCTTGTGGTTACAAAGAAATTGTGATTTAATTTTAAAACAGTATAATGACATGTTAAAGTGTATGTAGACATATAACAAATGCTCAATCCACCCAAACTGGGGTCTGAGCCTTCAGCAGAGGGGTAGACTGGTGTTGGCCCAAGTCTGGGCAGGCTGCATGAAGGAGTTAGAACTGGAGACAGACTGTGAATGATTGGAACTAGCAGTTTTCTACATTTATAACAGCAGACCATCAATAATGAATGCCAGAATTAAATAAGAAAAAGAATTTTAATATTGATGATTAGAGAGAAATGCCTTATTCTTCTATATTCAGAAGCATCAAATTTCAGACCGTAATTTTTTGGGTGATAACTGTGAAAGAATACAAAGTCATATTTATTGGGATGTAGAAATCATAGCACTACATGGTTACATATAAATGTGTAATCTCAAGGAACTCTTTTTAAAAACTGAGATTTCTTGCTATTGAATATATTTTCTCAAAATGGCTGCTTTGTGTCCAAAGCCTTCCCCAGGTGACCCCTTCACAAAGCACTGAATCAGTCACAGGTTAATTACTGCTTCCTGAACATGCTCTGCACACTTCTGCTTCTGCCCCTTCGCTCAAGCCATCTCCCCTCTGGGCAAGCCCTTCCCTCCCTTCTCCAGGTGTGTGAGCCCCGCCTATCTTTAGGATCCAGCTGAAACCCAACGTCTTCCATGAAGCTTCTACTGTCTGGTCCACCACCTTATCAATCTGCTTCTGAATGCCAAAAGTGCTTATTTTCTGAACTATCAATTTTGCAATTTTTTTGTGATATGTATTTTCCTAGACTCGGGTTCTATCCCCAAAAGAACCTGTTTAAGTCTCTGAAGGCAGAGAACATAGTCACTTTTTATATTTCCAGTGCTTAATATGGCACATCACGGTATGGCAGGCTCTCACTGAATATACATTATTGAGCATCTATCTAGTTAAGTCCCAAACTTGCCATGTTTTCCATAACTTCACCACAACTACCCTCCCATTTGAAAAATGACCAAAATATGTTAGAGATAAGCTAAAAGGGTTGTATCTTAGGTAATACATAGTGAGATAACCTAAAAAAAAAAAAAAGTATCCTTGAAAAAAATTAATGTTTTTACTCTTTAAAATAATGCATGCATTATTACAGTATATTCCATAAACAGAAGCATTAATATAGATTTGCCTATCTGAAAAAGGATCGAGCAATGAGACAGCTGAAGAGGTGTAATCTAACAGCTTGCAGAGGCCCGTCACTGTGGTGATTGAGGTGGACAGAAGGCATAGACATGACCAAGGCCCTTAAAAGACACAAACAGGTGGGAGAGTGTGTTGGGGGTGGGCACCAGGCTACAGAGTACAAAAAGGAGGAAGCTCGCCTTCGAGAGCAGAGACAAGAGAAGGCAGAGAGCGAGACTGCCCGAGGAATGGGAGGGGAGGAGAGAGAAGAGGAGATCTGAAGCGAGGTCACATCTAGACAGGACACAGTAGGAAGTGAAGCTAGAACAAAGACAAGTGAGCGGCCAGGCCACAGCTAGGGAGAAATGATGGACTCTCAGGACAGGGGATGCACATAAAGGAGAGACAGAGGATTTTTCTGTGTGACCAGAGAATAGCGATTAAAAAGGTAAGAATGACAGGAAAGGGAGGAAAAGGGAATACTTAAGGGAACAAAACAAGTGCTAGTTCAATGCTTAGCAAATCACCCAGCAGTTAGGCTGAGCCAGAAAGAGAGCCATAGCCATACCCGAGAGGGAAGCATCAGAAAAAGGAGGCAGGCAATTTAAGTAACTAGCTACTGAGGCAAAAATGAAAAGAAAAGAAGATGGAAAAGGTGAGAAGCAGGAGAGGGAAAACCCTAAGGAGACTCTGGCCCAGAAACCTTTTTAACTTTCTGTAAAAATCTTCAAGGCCCCAAACTAGGCCAAGATTCTGACTGACATTTCTGAGCTCACCAGCTGCTGTTTCCTTGAGAGAATTCTGACAGGAAGGCATAGAAACGCAAGCCAACACTGGCAGCTCTGGAAAAAATAATCATACTAACACTCCGTGCTCTAAACACCTCAATGGAACTCACGCCTCCCGTGGAAGAAAGCGCTCAGAGGAGGAGGGACTTGCCCACAACTTTCCCCAGGTAAGCACTGAGCTGCTCCCCCATGCTGCTTTCCCCTCTAATTGTCCTCTGGCTCTTCCTGCCTTGCCCATCTGTCTGTCTTTCTTTGTGCATTTTTGGGGAAGCCCTGGGGGGAGGGGAGGAACCTGCTTCTGTCATCGGAAGCCAGTACTGTGGTATCTGTAGGAGCAGATGAAGCACCACATCCTGTGTTCTGGGTCTCACACAGGTCGGGAAGACGGCTAGAATCCAGAGGCAGCAGGCAGAGCTAGGAGAGGGGAAATAAATGGGAGAAATCACCCCTATCCACATTATCAGGAATGGCTTGTGGGCTAGTATTGACAATGGACTTGTTTCTGTGTGCTGGGGCTTGGGGCAAAGGCAGAGGGGAAGGGTGGATGTGGAAGACAGAGGGACAATAAAAGGCAGCTCCAGCTTTTGCATGGTCACCTAGGGAGGGGCTGGTCAGTTACCTAAAGAAGAGCGAGGGTTGGAGGAGGGATGGATGAGAATTTGACAGCATATGGCCTTGAACTTGGGACTTGTCCTTCTAGTGCTGTGGTAAGATATTTTGAATGCATGTTTAAATTTTCTTCAGAGCAACTCAAAGGAAATGATTATGAATATGAAATTTATCTCAAATATGCAATCATTGAATGGAGTGGTTCCTTCAGATAACCCCACAGACTTCCCCACTAAGACAAGGTGAAGTGTTATACCTTTAAAACAAACAAACAAACAAACAAACAAAACAGCAACTAAGTTCCCCTGCAATGTATTTCTTTGGAAAACTAGGACAAGAACCAGATTCTCTGACTTGTTCTCTGGACCTTAAGCAACTCTTAATTCTCACTCAATGTACTAGGTTCAGAAAAAAGAAAAGAAAAAAGTAAACTTTGGAGCTGAAGAGCTTTATCATTATTCCATATGTTTGTCATCTTACATTACATTATCAATACGATCCCTCTGCCAATAGAACATGAGGTCATGTGAGTCAGTGCACCCTCTGCTGGCCTATCTTTTCAAGAAAAACAATCACTTCATTTTATATCCTCTTTTCACCAAACCCCACTGAAGTCTTATGGGTAAGAACTGGAAGCCAAAGGGGGTGATTCCCTGTAGTGTAAACCCCTCAGGCTGAAGACTCTAAGAAACTCCACAGACGGGTTCCCCCTCTCTGCACCCTTGTAGGTGAGAGCTCCTACCACCACGCCCTTGAAGAGCCACCTTCTTGGCTTCTGTTTGGCTTTACTCCACCTCCTCGCCTCATGATTAGGAAGCTCACAGTGTGAGGGCCAGTTTCTTGCCCTTGAATGACTGTCAGAAACTAGCGCAGTGGTTCTCCAAGTGTAGTACCCCAGATAAGCCGCATTAGAACCACCTGGGAATCTGTTAGAACCAGGGGTCTGGCCTGACAATCTGTATTTTAGCAAGCCTACCAGGTGACTCCGATGTACTGAAGTGGAAAATTAGTATTTTTTTAAAAGGGCTTTTTCCTGAACCCACAGACCTCAGATCTCCTTACAGGTGTGACTGGTCTTCTGCAGCTTCTAAAGGAGATCTTTCCCCAAACCACAACCTCTCAGGGCCTTGTGTCCTTTACCTGTATAAAAAGAATATTTATATGCCAACTACTTGTTACAGCACTGAGAACTGTGCCTGTACATAGTAGGTGTGCTAAGCAAGCTGATGGTGGTAGTGGCATCTTTATCGACTGCACCCTTACTATGTAAAAGCGCTTTACAAGAGCAAGAGGTGGTGTGGGAAATCAAAAACGAAGCTGTCAGGACCCCAGCCCTTGTGAGAGGAGATGCATGCATTATGGGCACCCAAGAAATCAAGCAGCCGGGTGAGATGTGACTGTGCCTGTGTACAGGTACAAACAACAGGAGCTAAGAAGAGGAAGAGCTACAAGTGGGAGACAACTTGGTGGAGAAAGTGCCTTTTGAACTGATCCTTCAAGGGAATAATTATAACCAATGAAGATGGGGAAAAGGAAAAGAGCTTTCCAGGCGGAAGATGAGCTCAGGGAACACTGCAAAGATAAGACGTTAGCAGTCAGGGGTGGACAAGAGTGCTTGCTCCTTTTTCTGTTACTAATACATGAACTGTTCGTGTGTGGAGAGGGATCGCCCATTTGTCACCATGATTGCTAAAATTCCTCTTATAACCCAAATTAATCATTTCTCTTAGACTGTTGTAAAATGGGTCTTTCCCAGTATCGATTTCATTAATTGAACATTCAGATTTATCTGTCTTCCTTATTACTAGAGCAATGCTTTTCGAAGTCCTCTGCTCACTGGTAATGGAATATATGGAGAATGGTTGCACAAATGCAGATTCCTGGGGCCTGGCCCAGGTGGCTATTTCAGTATCTTTGAGAGCAAGTCAGAAAAATCTTCATTTTAACAAATTCCCTTCTGATTCTAATATTCATTCAAGTTTGAGAGCCACTCTCCTAGAGCTGTTGTTTCCCCAAAATTTGCTGAGCATAGATGGAAGTCACGTGGGAGTGTTTGTTAAAAGTGTAGATTACCGGGCCAATCCCAGAGATTTCAGTTCCATGGCCCTGGAATGGGGTATATAGGAGAGGAGTTTTAATAAGTGCCTTTGTGGCACTAAGGATCGGGCAAGTTTGGGAAACGGAGTGTATTAGAGTGAATTGGGTTAGAGAAATGCTTCAGGTCATAGGTCAGCCATACTAGCTGTGTGAGTGGGTGAGTTTCTTAACCACTCTAGTTCTCCAAATTAGTTAACCTGCTGGAGACGGTTTCATCCATAATAAAAGGGACTTCACAGAATTGCTGGCAGTGTAAATAAGCATATAGCTTAGTACAATGTTGGCTCCATCTTCTTTCCCCTTCCTCCCTTGAAGTCCCAGCTCCAGCTCTCCAGCTCTGATGAGGGGCAGGCAAGAACATCAGGGATGACAAAATGCCACCAATACTCCCCTCTTCTGAGCAAGGTGGCAGGATGCTGCGGCAAGGGGGGGGGGGGGAAGACAGGCTCTTGGAGCTGCCTTGCTCTTGGCTACTCCTGGGGAGTTAAAATGGGACTCATGCCTATGATCGAATCAACATTCAGAACTGGCCAGTCCTCTAAAAATAGCAAGATGTTCTGGCTGAGCCTTGGGAAAATTAAGGTCCTCTCCCGATATACCACCCCAAGCTTGCCTTAAAAGGAGGGGCCGTTGCTTTATTTCCTATCTCCTCAGCCAGACAAGGGTAAGCCCCACATAATCTGGCTTGTATCTGTTGAGCCCCAGAATAGCCTGTTTCAGAGAACACCAGCGAGATAACAGTGCATAAGGTTACATATGCTCAGATTTGTTTAAAACAATAGATAATAGTTTCTTAAAATGTAATCAGAATTGCATACTTTTATGGGGATTAGGGCCCTGCTAGTGTCTGCAGGAGGAGTGGTCTACACCTCTGTGTCTACACCAAGTCTGACTGTGGGTCAGGAAAGGGACTAGGAGACCTAAATAGCCTATGATAGAAATTCAGAGAGCAAGATTCAGGTGATTTTCTACAAAAAGCTCTGGATTCCTCTTTTTACCCAGCAAAGGGCTGGCTGAGTAAGGTCAGGTCTGCCATCAGAAGCAAAGTCTAGTGGTCACAAAAGAGACAGTCTGAGTATCTCACCATATATTTTTTTTTATAAAGGCCCTGAAATTGAGACTGGGCCCCAGATATTCAAAATTTTTAATGATTCTTATCAGAAAGGATACTGATGAATCCTTTTCCTTAAGAAATCCTTTGCAAACATACTAAACTAGTAAAAATGGTTTTCTTAAAATGTATTTTTTTATACAATCTAAGCTTTTCCACATATTTTAGAACCACCCCTGAATAACAATTGTCATGTGAATGAAACTATAGATCAAATATAAGGACTTCCATGCAATGAGTAATTTCAGTTGCTGTATTAATATTAATCAATATTAAATATACATTAAATAACAGTAATAATAGTAGCAGAGACCATTTATTAGACTTTTAATACTGTGTTCACAGCAACATACATTAATCTATGACCTTAAAGCCTCCAACTGAGTAAACATTATTCTCACTTTATAGGTGAGGAAACAGGCTCAGGGAGGCTAAGTAGTCAGCTCAAGGTCACAAAGCTTGAATGCACAGATGCCCAAGCTGAGCTCTACCCCCCTATACCCTTCTGCTGCCAATAACCTTGAAGATGGTATTGTTGGCCTATAATTCAGACTTTTCCCTGTCTTAACCATCCTTGGTTTTCCCCTAATTAGAGAGGACCACTTTCTGAGGACCACTAATGGAAAATCACATTCTCATCTCTCTATGATATTGTGTCTGAGTCATTTATGTTCAAATCCTTCCCTGCTCAGTGAAAGAAATAGGAAAAGAATGGTGCTGACTTTTTATGCACGTGATTGTACCTTCACTGTTACTTCTGAATTCTTTTAAATGGTCCTTGCTTCTCAGGAATAAGGGAAAGGACAATTTATTAATTAAGAGTTTTGAAAAATTGTCTGACTACATGGCAAAGAGAGGGACAAATAAATCTTGTTTTCAATAACGTGTTGAATGACATTTTGTATTGCCATCGGCCTGTTCTCCTAAGAAACTCATGGTCCTCGCATGAGTGTTACCTCATTAATCTTCAACTCACCCTCTGGAAGGCAGCCTGGTTACACAACCACCACAGGAATGAGGAAAAGAAAGGTGGTGATCTTGCCAATACCACACAGCACACAAGTGGCCAGGTGACACCTCATACCTTCCCACTCTTCCTAGTAACACCATCTGCCCCATTCAGAAGATTTGGGTAGGTAAGAAACTAAATAAATAATCTGTAAAAAACTTACATCCAATGGCAATGAATGCCGTTGGTCTTATGCAAAGCTCAGAAAAACATGCCTTTATATTCCCCTTCCTAGAGTTTTCCCTTTCATTTATACCTGGTCTGAAATATTTGATGTCGCTGTAGTTGGGTGTTTGTTGTTGTTGTTGTTGTTGTTTTTGTGTGTGTGTCTGTGTGTGTGT